CTTTGCACAGGACTTTGGACCTGGGCTAAATCCTCATTCCATTCTATTCTATACCTAGTGACCCTTCCGAGGCAGTACAGTGGCTAAGAGTACTAGGCTTAGAGTCAAGAGAGACCTCAGTTCAAAACCCACCTCAGACAGTGGCTAGTTATATGACCTTGGGCAGTCACTTAACCTCTTTCAGCTTCAGTTTTCTTATCCATAAAATGAGGGTGATAATAGCACCTACCTCCTAGGGTTATTGCAAGCTTCAAATGAGATAACATATATATGGCACTCTGAAAACCTTGAAGTACTATTTAAAAACAAGCTATTATAATTCACTCGTTTTGACCAGACTTTTGATTTCATGGCATACAGAACACCCAATCAGAGAATTCCCTCTACTGATGCAGCTCAGAACATGTTTTGCAACTCAAAGAGTCACCTGGGGTACTGAAAGATTAGACAAGTTGCTGGGGATCACATAGTACATACCAGAGGTGAATTTTCTCAGTTCTGAGGACAGCTATTCTGTCTACTATGCCAAGCTGCCTCATATAATACTGTAAAATATTGCATATCTGTATTTGTTTCCTATGACTTCTATTATATAGTGAACCTCACTGAAGGCAAGGCCATGTCTTAATTATGTTGTCTTTTCCCCCAGCACTTAGCTCAATATTGAATGATTGTTGAATGAATGGTGATCAACCAGTTGAAAAATCCAACATCCAATTTTTTTGTTTTGTTTTGTTTTTATTTTTACTGAGGCAATTGGGGCCAACTGACATGCCCAGAGTCACACAGCTAGTGAGCGTTTTGTGTCTGAGGTCATATTTGAACTCAGCTCCTCCTGACTTCAGGGTCAGTGCTCTATCCACTGTGCCACCTAGCTGCCCCCCAACATCCAATTGTTGATGTAATTAAGCATTTAAGAAGGCATCGTGGTGTGGGTAAAGAACATGGATGGAGCTGGGGCCCAGAAGATCCAGATTCAAGTTCCAAGCCTGTCACTTTTTTTGCTATGTGATCTGTGGGCCAAGTTCTGGGCCACTTCTGTCAAATTCCAAGGTTAGGCTTCTAGCTCTGATACTCTATGGTGGCACAGTGGCCTGGAATTAGGAGCATTGTTCAGACATCTCAGTCTTGTCCAACTCTTCATGACCTTATTTGGGGTTTTCTTTGCAAAGATAATGGAATGGTTTATCATTTCCTTCTCTAGCTCATTTTATAGAGAAGAAACTGAGGCAAACAGGGTTAAGTGACTTGCGCAAGATCACACAGCTAGTAAGTGCTTAAGGCTAGATTTAAGCTCAGAAACATGAGTCTTCCTTACTCCAGACCTGTCACTCTATCCATTATATCACCTAAGCACTTTAAAATTATCATTTCATTTCATCCTCATGATAGCCCTAGGAAATAAGTACCATTATTATCCTCATTTTACAGCTGAAGAAACTAAGGTAAACAGAGGTTAAATGACTTGCCCAGGGTCACATAGTATTTGAAGCCAGATTTCAACTCAGCCATTCCTAACTCTAGGCAAACCCCCCTAGTATCTTTGCCAAGAAAACCCCAAATGGGGTCACAAAGAGTCAGACATGACTGAAATAACCCAACAACAACAATGGCTCAGTGCCTGGCACATAGTAAGCACTATAGAAATGTAGCTATTATTATTGTTATTATTGTAACCCTAATAGATTTTCCTGATTGTAAATGCTTTCCACTCTTATAATAGGGAATCATACTATAAACTGACTCATTTGCTGTCATTTCCCATATCTTATATTTCCCACTAATTTCAGGAACCATGCCATCTTCTTTGTGTCCCTACATCTAAAACAGGGTTGGGTCCATAGTAGATATTTACTAAATTTCTGTTGACAGACTGGTAAAGGAAGTGGGCAAGGAAAGCACCCAAACAAATGCAATCTCTAGGTTCTCCCTCGGTTATGGGCGAAGCCATTATCAGGTTCCTGCCTGGCACAGCATAACTGCTGCATCATTACTTTAGTCCCCTGACCCTGACACCAAGGGATAGGTGCTGCTACACCCTGAATGCCACAAGTGGAGAGATCTTTAACACACATTAAATTGCAAGCTCCAACTAAATTGTAATTTCCTAAAAGATGGTGAATATGTGCTCCTCCCCACCCCCCCACACACGATGAACTCATCATAGATTTGACAACACATACTCAATGAATATTTATTAACTCACATCCCAATGATAGATTAAAAAGGACTTCTTCAGACATTAAAATTGACGGCCAGGTTAACTTGATTGACCAATAGGGAATTTTAAAAAATCAACATGGCACCTTTTAATTTTGCTTACACATAATACAAGAAATCTCAAGGAAACCAGTTCTTAAACCCTTGAGGTTTGCAAAGCACCTGCTCCTGGCTTCCAAGACAATCATAGTTCCTCTTAGCAAACTAAGAAGCCTGGCATTACCCATCTCCTGTTGACTAGAGGGAGATGGTTATCAGTGTTCTCCAGGATTACCACTGGCCTCCCAGAGACATTGGATAGAAGAGTCAATTGTAGGGCTGCAATTTAAGATTTCTGGTTCTATTCTCATTTCTGATTTACTTTCTTACCTCAGTTTAGTTCCTTTGGTTACAGATCTTTGGTCCCTCCAGATCACTATCGTCTTTACCACCAAACTCAGTGTCACATACCATACAACAGAGGTGAATTTTCTCAACTCCTTGATAGCTATTCTGTCTACTATGCCAAGCTGCCTCCTATAATCACAATTTCCATAAAAATGGAAGCTAAGGGATTCAATTAACTCCACATAAAATGTATATCCTTTGTCTCTTTTCCTCCCTCCTTAAAATGTGATTATTATGAATGAAATCAAATTTAATTTACAGTTTTCAGAGATGTAGCCTGCTCTTATTGGCCAAATATATTCCACAAATGAGATTATGATTCCTCAATCACCAGTAAAGGCCTTTATGCTAACCCCTCTATTCCATTTGAGCACCCGCTTCTTAAGGAACAAATATCAAAATCAACGGTGATCATTGGTAGTGATGGTGCTCCCCGGTAATCCCTGCTACTGGGGAAGATTGAGGCTGGTATTTTGCTTGAGTTCTGGAGTTTTGAGCTGCAGTGGGGCTAAAGCTGATTGGATGTCAATGCCAATTGGATGTCTGACACTAATATGAATGAGCCCTAGGGAGTGGAGGGTGACCAGACTTCCTAGGGAGGGAAAAACCAGCTGAGGTCAGAAAAAACAAGGAGGTTAAATCTTCTGTGATCAGCATTTGGATTGAAAAGTGAGCAGCTGCTGCATTTCAAGCCTAGGCAATAAAGTGATACCCAAGTCTCAATAAAAACAAAGAAACAAAAACCAAACATATAAATAGGTGATTGGATAGGCAAATAAATGAATGAATGATAAATGAATAGATAGTCAAGTAAATAAGAGAGAAAATGAATAAATAGATGGATGAATGGATAGACTAACAGACAGATAGATTAGATAGATAGATAGTTTTGTTTTTTAAATAAAATCAAGTGACTACTTTCCCTTTGGACTTTCTGGGAACAGAATCCAGTTGTACTCTCAGTTTCAACCAGTCCATTCAGATTTGCCAAACTGTATAAGAATGGAAGCTAAGGGACTCAATCAATAGACCTGAGGGTGCTATCATTTGGTATCAGGTTTTGGTCCTGCTGCTTTTTCTTTCTTTTAACTTGTAAATGAGTGTGCTGAGTTCTGCTAATGTTTGGTTTTCTACTCCTCAATTTGTGTGTTAACACTTTCTGGCTGGAAAAAAAAAACCACATCTGCCTGAATTATCATAACCACCTCTTTTATATATTTATTCATGTAACTGTCTCGTTTAAATGCAAATTACCAAACCTCATTTAAGCTTAACTGGCTATGAGAAGATTTGAATAGAAGGATCGGGGCAGGATCTGTGATTTCATTAGTATAATGAAGTTCCAGGTGAAGAAACTTCCTTTACCAATGCAGGTAAGACTGACATTTTCTCTGCAATTTATAGTCCTAGAAAGTTGCCTAGAGCACTGAGAGATGGAGTAATTTCCCCAGGGTCACTCGGCCACTACATATAAGAGGTAAGTCTTAAATCCTAAAAAGCTATCTTTGAAGCCTGCTCTCTCTCCACCATACCACATTGTTGAAGATTTGATTCCACTGTATAAAACTAGTTATTAGCTTAGCCATTATCATGGGGAAAGAGAGAGGGGGAGGGTTAAGGATCATTGTTTGACCCCAGATGAGGATTTAAAAAGTCATTCTGTGGATTATTTAGCTAGGGAAAAAGCAATATCATTAATTCAGAACTCCAGGGCAGACAGCTAACACCAGACAGAAATTTCTGTGCATGTATACTTACTTTGGTATTTAGCCACCACCTCCCTGCCAGAAGGAAACAAAGAGATTCCAAACTGAGGGATTAAAATCACTAAAGGCAAAGTAACAAGCTGCAGAAATCAACATTTAATGTGAATGAACAAAGCCTCCGTATTCCCTGCAGCCACTGTATGTGGTAAAAGCATAGAACAGCTTTCCCCCATACCACGGAGGTCTCTCTGTGATTCCATCAAACACAGGTCTCTCAGTGACTCCACGGTGTGATAAAGCTCCTGTTGATCAGACTTCATTGTCTGAGATGATTCAGTCTTGGTTCTCAGAGCTGTTCCACGTTGTATTAAGCAGAGTTAAACCTTGGGGGAAAGAGAACCTTCAGAACTCCCAGGACATTAGCGGGGGTCTGTTCTCCTGTTTCTTTTCACTTGACTCACATTGCCTGGTAGATGGTGAGTCCAAGAAGCACAGGTCCCTTGGCAAAAAGCTTGTTGAAGTGATATCTTTAATAAACACATTCTGAGCAAATCAAAGAATAGTGTGCGTCACAGATTAGCTTTCTAAACTATCCTTCCGAGGTCTTTGCTCTGAATCCCAAACCAGGAAGACAAAGAGATTATTTTTTTAATCACAAAAAAAGATCAATTGTAGAAAAACAAACACTCCCCTCAATAAGGTAATGTTTTATTTCTGAAGATAAAATCAAAGGAAGGAATTCTAAGAAATCTTCCTTCAACCTCATTAAAATGTGTAGAAAGAAAATCACATCAATAATTTAAGGCTCACAAAAAAAAAAATCAGATTTGCCTTTCTTTCCAGAAAGTATCTCTGTTCTAGAGCTAAAGCATTGAGTTCCCATCACGTCCAGAGAGAAACAGGTCTGTGGACATGAGAATTAGGACAGGCTTATGCTGAGAAACAAGCATCTGTATAAGGAAGGTGCTGGTGAAAGAGTGGTTCCCAAAAAATCAGCACAAACTTTTTTTCCATCCATAAGCACAACATATTTATACAGAAAGAGAAAATATGTCAGAAATATCTGAACTGTAGTATAAAAGTTCCTTTCACCTGCCACGAAAAAAAAAATAACTTTCTCCCTATACTCAAATAAATATACTCAAACTTACCACAAATGTATCAGTGATTTACAAAATCCCTAGCTTTTGCTTGTTGGTTATTGTTTTTTCCAAAGATTCCTGTCTAGGTTTTCCCACTAATGGCTAAAAGTGACCAGGACTGCAAATACCTACATCTTACTGCACTCACCATTTCAACAGTTTCCTGCGTCATGGAATGTGGTACTTTTTAAAAATAAGTGACCCTTTGGTATCATGGAAAAAAAAAAGAAAAGGGAAAAGAGGGGGAGAAGGAATGAGGGAGAAAATCAGGTTGGAGAATAGTCTTTGTATTATACTCAGTGGTACAAGATTTCCACTTTCAAGACCCCTCCTTCTGCTTTCCCCTCTTACATCCCCACCTGGCTCTCTTGGTCTCTTCTACAGATCTGTTTCCTGGCTTGTATCCAGGCAAAGGGCATAGAGGGATTTCCTTATGTCTACATTGCTTTTGACTTTCAGATTACATTTTTCCGGGGCACAGCTTTCTCTCTGGGCCCCTTCCACGTTTTCTGGGATTTTAGTAAAGGACTCTTTGCTCCCACTAGACTTCAGCTGATTCACACTGTCCTGTATTGAGCCCTGGCCTGTGGTGCTGGCTGGTTCTTCCTTGAGGGCTGCCCTTTCTTCATTGTCTGTCTCTCTATGATAGAAGTAATTGAAGTTGGAGACAATGACAGGCACAGGCAGAGCTATGGTGAGGACACCTGCTATGGCACACAAAGATCCTACAATCTTGCCCCCTACCGTCACTGGTCTCATGTCCCCATATCCCACTGTAGTCATGGTGACCACTGCCCACCAGAAGGCATCTGGGATGCTGGAGAAGTGGGTCTCATGGTTGTCTGCCTCTGCAAAGTAGACAGCACTGGAGAAGAGGATGACTCCAATGAAGAGGAAGAAGATGAGGAGCCCCAGCTCCCGCATGGAGGCCTGCAAGGTCTTGCCCAGGATTTGGAGGCCCTTAGAATGGCGAGAGAGTTTGAAGATACGGAAGACCCGGACCAAGCGGATGACCCGCAGGATGGCCAAGGACATAGCCTGCTGTCCGTTGGGACTGCTGCCTCCTCCTACTCCCCCTGGCTGTTGCTCTGCAAGCTCAGTGCCCAGGGTGATGAAGTAAGGAAAAATTGCAACCACGTCGATGATGTTCATGATGTTGCGAGAGAATTCTGCTTTGCTGGGGCAAGCAAAGAAGCGTACCAGAAGCTCAAAGGTGAACCACACTACACACGTGGTCTCTACAATGAAGAATGGGTCTGCCAGGGTCCTAGGCATCATAGGGGCCACTGTGGGCCCCTGAAGCAGAAGATGCAGGTCCTGACCACCACCTCGGCTGGCATTAGCGCTCTGGGGGTGAGCTGGAGGCTGTTGGGGCAGCTGGGGATGATGAAGCAGCTCCCGTTCATCCCGGAACTCAGGCAAGGTCTCAAGACAGAAGGTGATGATGGAGATGAGGATGACCAAAACGGAGACAATGGCTATGCCCCGGGCTGAGCCAGAACTCTCTGGGTACTCAAAGATGAGCCAGACCTGCCTCTGGAACTCATTCCGGGGCAGTGGCTTCTCCTCTTCTTTGATGAAGCCCTCATCCTCCCTGAACCTCTCCATGGCCTCGTCGCCTAGTTGGTAGAAGCGGATCTCATCAGCAAACACGTCCAAAGAGACATTGACTGGCCTCCGCAGCCTGCCTCCCGACTGGTAGTAGTAGAGGATGCCATCAAAGCTGGGTCGGTTGCGATCGAAGAAATACTCATTGCGCAGGGGATCAAAGTAATGCAGACGCTTGGCAGGGTCCCCCAAGAGAGTGTCCGGGAACTGAGCCAGGGTGCCCAGCTGAGTCTCGAAACGGAGGCCCGAGATGTTGATAAGGACGCGCTGATGATGGAGGGCAGATGACCCTAAACCTTCACCCTCCGACATACCCAGAGTGGAGCTTGTTTCTCCTTCTTCTTCCCCCTGTCCAGGTTGCTGTCGCACTGCCTGAGGAAGCTCAGGTAAGGGACGTCCACCTCGGCCCTCGCCTCCCCCAACACGGCCACGTCCGGACCTCCTCGGCGTCCCCTCCTTGGCTCCGTCGTTGAGTTGCCCCGTCGGGGGACGCAAGAGCTCTTCCTCCGGCTTGGGGCCGCTGCTTCCCCCAGCCTGCTCTCCTTTCCCGATGGCCGTGGTGCCTCCGTTCTTCAGGGTGACCAAGGCAATCTCCATGGGCCAGGGGCAGGGGCATGCTGCGCCCCCGCCTCTTGGCTCCTCCGTCACACTCTCTCCCTGTGCCCTCTCCAAGCCCTCTGCTAACCTCCTGCCTGGCCGCCCGAATCTCTACGAATGCTCCCCGCTGGGGTTGCCGGAGCGACTCCCAGTTAGTCCTGACGTCAAGAAGCTGCCCCGGCTCTTTTCTCTCTGCAAGCTAGTCGGTTACCAAGCAGCATAAATGCTTCTTTGCAAGCAGATGCAATCTTACACTGCGCTCTCCATCAGCAAGGCATTCAACCACCACCCCCTGTAGTTCCCTCCACCTCTTCTTTCATTCTCTTCCTCCCCTTCCCCGCTCGGCGACTCTCACCCCCTATAGCTCTAGCTAGTCCTGCCACACTAACGGCATAACATCACCCCCACCTACCCGCTTCCCTCCTCTCCCAAAACACTGGGGGCGTCACCCTGTGCAGAGGCGCAGCTGGAGTTGCTGGTTTGGGAGGGCAGGGAGAAAGCAGGGGGAGGTGCAGAGGAGGAGCACAGGTTGTATACGGGAGAGAACCAAGACTCCCCTGGGCAAGAAGATGAGAATAAGTGTGTTCTTCTGCTCACCTGGTCCTCTGCAATAAGCTGGATAGACTTGGGCGGGGGAGTGAGAAGGTAAGAATACTGCGTTGTTCCACGATGGAAGGGATGAAAATGACTCTCTGACTCTCTCTCGCTCTTTCCCTCTCTCTCTCTCTCTCTCTCTCTCTCTCTCTCTCTCTCTCTCTCTCTCTCTCTCTCTCTCTCTCTCTCTCTCTCTCTTTCACACACACACACACACACACACACACACACACACACACACACACACACCTCTCCTCCTCCCCGTTTGTCCGTGTTTGTCTCCCTGTTTTTCTGTCTTTCAGTCTGTCTCTCTCATTCTCTCATCTCTCTATGTCTCTCTGTTGTCTTTCTTCTCTCCTTTTCTTTCTTTTTCAGCAGGGCAGGGCTTGGCAGGGTCCTCAACTAGGGCTAAAATGGTTCAAATGAACAGCAACTAAAACAAAACAACAAAACCAAAACCACTGAAGAGACTTTTCAGTCTCTTTTACACTTACAGGTCAGAAATTGTGTGCTTTCTAACCAGGCTTCAACTCTAATGAAAATCCACATTCCTAATACACTTCTGCCCTGAAGCAGCAGCAGATGTACTTCCTTTAGACATATTCAGGCAGCCCCAGGCAGGCAGAATCAAGGACCGTCTCTGAATAACCCCACAACTAACTCTCCACTCTCAAGACCAAATCTCACTAGAATAGGAAAGAGGTGATTTAGAGACCCCAAGAAGGACTGAAAATTCCTGATGAAAGATGATTGTTTCTCTGAATAGTTTACAGGTTCTTAGTACTTAGTACTAGGCTGGTCTACATTGGGAAATAGGGGATCTTTCTAAGAGGTGAGTCAGGGAAACTCTGTAACCTATTTCCCTAGAGATGTTTTAAGAATGAGAGTTATGATCCTGCCTCTCTGTACCTTAAACACCACCTCTCAGCCCCAGCTCCCCATTTGTTCAGTGTAAGCTGGGTGTCACACTACTGCCAGGCAAGAATATAGATGAGAGGACCCCCAGAGTTCTCTTCCAGCAGAGAGGATCAAGGTTTCTCAATCCAGTAGAGAAGGAAAATTACAGGAGAATGTGTATAATTGAGAAAGCCAGATACAAGTACATAATCTGACTTATTTTTGGTTTTAAGTGAATAAAATCATACATGAACATATACATATATATATATATCAACAAATTGTCAATATATTGTTCTTGTTCAGTCATGTGTGTTTCTTGGTGACCCCATATGGTGTTTTCTTGTCAAAGATATTGGAGTGGTTTGCCATTTCCTTCTCTGGCTCATTTTAAAGATGAGAAAACCGAGTTAAACAGGGTTAAGTGACTTGCCCAGGGTCACATGGCAAGTAAGTGTCTGAGGCCAAATTTGAACTAAGGAAGATGAAGCTTCCTGACTCCAGATCCAGCACTCTAACCACTGTGCCACTTAGCTGCCCTATAAAGAAATTACTTCAAAGAAAAAGGTATTGGTATTTATAGCCCACCCTGGATGAGGTGTTTTAATGGAAAGAACATTTACTAGCTCTCACTCAGCTGACCTGGGTTCCTAGGGATAGCTCTGCTACTTAGTACCACTATGGCCTTGGGCAAGACACAGTATCTCTGGGCCTCATGTCCCTGATCAGAAAAACAAATAGTCAGCATTAGATGATCACCAAGATCCCTTTCAAGTCTGAAATCTTATGAAACCTATCATCTGTTCCCAGAAGAGGAATCAGAGAGAACCCTGTCAGCATCTTTACCTACTCAGTCCTTTGCCTTATAGCTTTTGGAGGGATCGCTGAGGGAGGGGTGTCTACAAGGAGCACATACAGAAAAAGAGGCTCCAGTGATAGTTAGGACAGGCCAGGCAAAACTCTTTAATGGAAGCCAAACTGAAAGGTAAAGTTTGCCAACGTTCAGTCCACTATTTCTTCTTCTGCAGAATGAGATGATCTGATAATGGTATTTGGAGCTGGTTACCTACTACCTGTATTGCAATTACCTTACCACCTTGAGCAAATCTCTAGAATTTCATTTTTCAGGGCTTTCTCTTGGGTTTACTTCCCTACTAACTTCCCAGTAAAATCTTAGGCCACTAAATTCTACTTGTCTTTTTATGTACATTTTGATTTACACCAATTTAAAGTCAATGTCAGCCAATTCTTGATTTTCTTCTCTTTATCATCATAAATGTTAACATGAAGAGCTCACTTCCCTACAATATTTCTATCATATCTACATCAATTTCTCCTTGTTGTTCAGAAAGAAAAAATATATATGTGTGTGTTATATGTACATAAACACATGTGTGTATACATACATATGCCTACAAACGCATATACATATGTATACACACATATATACATACCTATATATATATACAAATACATATATACTTGTGTATATACACATACACATATGCATGTGTGTATGAATGTGTGTGTGTGTGTGTGTGTGTGTGTGTGTGTGTGTGTGTGTATTCCTGGACCTGGAATCAGGAAGACTCATCTTCCTGAGTTCAAATCTGGCCTCAGATAATTACTAGCTGTGTGACCCTGGGCAAGTCACTTAGCCCTGTTTTCCTCAGTTTCCTCATTTGTAAAATAAGCTGGAGAAGGAAATGGCAAACCACCCCAGTATCTTTGCCAAGAAAATCCCAAATGGTGTCACTAATAGTTGGACACGACTGAAACAACTGAACAACAGCAATGACAATAAAGGATAGAGAGTTCTCATGTGGCTCACACATGTACCTATGGAGCTGTATAGATATGCATGTGTGGGTTTTTTTTTTGTGAATTTTCCCTTTGCATCATATTCTCCCTCTGCCACCTAACCCTGTCCTGAAACAAAGAATTTTGCCCTTTGGGGGCAAAGAATGAAGCAAAAGGATCTAGTATAGTAACTCCTGACAAGGTCGCCCACATTCTGTCCTAGATATACCCCTGCATCTGTCTTCCATGAGGACCGAAGCATGTATCATCAGTTCTCTCAGAGAATCACGGCTTTTTCAGTTGCTCAGCATTTGACATCCTTTTAGGGATCTCTCATTTATATTTTTGTAGCCACTATGTATGCTGTTCTCTTAGCTTTGCTTATTTCATCTGGCATCAGCTCATACAAATCTTTCCATGTTTCCCTGAGTTCCACATATTCATCATTTCTTACAACAGAATAATATTCCATTACAATTCTATGCTGTAGCTTTTTTTAAAAGCTATTCCACAGTCAATATGTATCCACTTTTTTCCCAGTTCTTTGCCACCCAAAAAGTACTATTAATATTTTGGTATATATTTGACTCTTGAATCTGTTTCTGAACTCCTTGGGGATATAAATCCAGCTGTAGAATTATAAGGTTAAAGAGTATGGAAGTTTAGAAACTTTTCTTCCATAATTCTGAATTGAAATCCAAAATCCTTAAATTTTGAATGGGCAGTTCATACATAAATATGTGTGTGTATATGTGTGTGTGTGTGTGTGTGTGTGTGTGTGTGTGTGTAGACAGAGATACATAGATATATGCATATAAACACACATACATATTTATATTGTTATATATACATATGTAGGTAGAGATGTATGTATTTGAATATATATTAACATTTCTGGGCAATTTGTATGATTTCTTGAAAGATCTTTACTTTTTTATATATTATTGTGCCTTTCAAGAAGATTTATTATTTATTTCTTCACATCCTAACTTCAAGTTCAAGTACAGACTCTTGTTTTGTAAAACTCTTTGGTGTGCTTCTGACCTTGCTTTAAAAAAAATAGATCACATTATTTTTCCTTGGGCTTATGCTTTTTTCATTTCAGTTCTCTTGTCTGCTGTTACAGAGAGTGCCTTTCTTGTTCTTTTTTGTTATAAATTGTATACTCTCTTATTTTGCTGATTTCTTCTTTCACAACTCTAATTTCAGGGTTTAAAAAGAGTATTTTCATTTAATTACTTAATTTATCTTCCAAGCTCCTGGCTAGGTGGCACAGTAGATAGAGTGGGGACCTGGAGTCAGGAAGACCTGAGTTCAAATCCTGCCTTAGACATTCACTAGCTGTGTGAACCTGGCAGTCATTTAACCTCCGCTTGCCTCATTTTTCTCAACTGTAAAATGGGGATAAAATAGGGTTGTTGTGAAGATAACATGAGATAATATTATAAAGTACTTAGCACAGTGCCTGGCACAATACTTGTTTCTATTCTTCCTTTCTTCTGAGTCATTCTGGATGTTCTTAGAATCATTCTATTGTCATTTCAGGGGACTTACAGAATTTGTTATAGTACCTTCACCTTTTAGGGAAAAATTTTTGCCAGTTTCCTTTCTTGTGAGTTATGTGAAGAGATGGCTATTGTCTTTAAGTGTTCATTTCTCCTTTGTCAGCTGTTGTCTGTTTTTATCAATTATTCTTCTGATCTTTTGTGGGGTTTTTTTGCTGTAAATATGCTTCTTTTACTGCTCATCTTTTCCTTGCAGACAGCCTAGGACAATCATACCCCTATGTCAGTCCTTTATGCCAGCTCTATATTCTCTAGAAAAATATATGGGGTGTTCAGAGAGGGCTAACATCTCTGGTGCTAGCTTAAGGGCTTGCTGGGCCCTTTTCAGTGCTACTCATCCACCTTTGGGTCCACCTTCACCCAAGTCTCATCTGTGGCTCCAAGAAGTGATAGCATTCACAGCA